TTTTTGATTATTATATTGAATCTATATTTCGTGTATGGTGTCTTTTTCGAAGAATGAGACGCAAAAACTATGACAAAGCACCTTTGATTTTTCTTTCAGATATTATTTATTGGGAAACTATTGGTCATCCTCTTTTTGAATTTATATGAAATAATCTTCCATTTTTTAATGAATATTTTGTGGAAAATTTTCATTCTAGTTTACGAAGACAAACACATACAAAATATTAAATCATGGACTCTGAAAAGATGCATTTGTTATAAATGCTTTACGTAAAGAAAATAATTTTAGTAATTCTTATGTTCAGAAAGAGCAATATTTATAGAAGAGAAAAAAATTACAGAATTTGATTTTTCTTACAGGAGATTTTTTATTAAAATTTTTTTCTCAATTGTAAAATAATCAAAATAAAAGTTATATTATTGAATACAATACAGGAAGGAGGAGATTAAAATATTCACAGTATTTTTTTGCTACCTTAAATACAAAAGTAGATGTTATGCTTCTTCCTACTGGATATAATTCAGATCAACCTCCTTCTTCTGAAAAATTCTGTGATTATGATCAATGTTCAATTTTATCTGACACAGAAAGTTCACAGCAGGTTTTAATCTGTGGTCATGCATATCACTGTGATTGTTTAAAAACTTTAAATTTCATATGTTTACCTTGTACACGTTATTTTTGTGATTGAATTAAAAAACTTTCTCAAAGTTTTATAGATAGATTATCAAAAGGAATATCGGAAGATTCACTTATTTTGAAAGAAAGAATGATGGGATTACAGATGAAGATAATGATATATTTGAAGATGAAATAGGTGAAAACATATTGGCACAAGAAAAATACTTTCATTCTTTATCTTTATTTTAATTTTTATGAACATTTGGTTTAAATAAACATAATTTCTATTGATCTAATTGTTATAATTTTCATATTTTTAATATTTTTTTTGTATTTTTCACATATCATTTAATTAATAAATAATGATCAGCAATGATCGGCAATGATCAACAAATCATTACTAAATTAGGAATGTTCCCTATATTGTATTATTTATAATTTGAGAAATAAAATAAATACTAAGTCAATTTTTAACATTTAATTTTAATGAGATATAAGCCTTTATAACTAATTTTACTTATATTTCTTTTGAAAGCAATTATATATAATAATAATTTAAATATTTAATTATAATTAAATAAAAAAATAATTTGTTTATTTAATGATTACAAACTACTACATGTTATATAATAACTACTCTATATATTGTATTGCTCATTAAATAAGTATTTATAATATATGGATACAAATAAATTTTAATATATAAAATTAAATAATAACAAATTTTTAATTTTTTTCAAAATATCAAGAATTGTTGAATAAAATTGTATATATATATATATATATATATATTTTAAAAATAAAAATATTTAATTATCATCTGTAATAATTAAATCCTCTATAAATTTAAAAAAAAATAAATATAATAAAATAGAAATTATTAAAAATTTTTAATTTATAATATAAATATAATTACCAATACTTTGACTATTTTCTATTATGTTTGTAATATTTTGACTTAAAATCTTATTTAATCTTTCAGTATAATCAAGTAAACGACTTGTATAATATGCTTTTGAATGAGGTTTATCACTAACTATATTATTATTTTGTATTATTTTTAATACCTTATCTGCTTTATAGAAATCTAAAATATCATCTTTTAATTCTTTTTTAAAATCTTTAGAAGTAATATTAGTAATATTAGTAATATTTTTTTTCCAATTTTCAATAATTTTTTTAATTTCTGATGCAGTTGGTCTTTTTAATGGATCCATATCCCAACATTTTTTCATTAAATTTATATAACATTG